ATCACCTTGCTGTATTGGACACACCCCTCTCCCGTAGTTCCGACTCGTCCCCTCCCACTCTCCCCGCCCTCCTTGGAGCTCTGATTGGCTAAAAGTAGCAGTTTAGCAACAGGAGCTGTGATGGAGAAGGACGCAAAAAAAACCACTTCTGCTCGCCACACCGCCAAAAGAGGGAAGAAAATGCCGACAGAAGAAAGGGCGGAGTCAAAGTTTACTCTAGTTAGTTAAAAAATAAATGAATCCTCAAAAATCTGACTTCCCTAATTGTTGTGCCCTCAGTGTAGACCGGACCGTCAGCAGGACTGATGGTTTGAGCTGAACTCAGGAGGTCAAAGAGGTTCTGCTGGTTTCTTCATGTGACATTCAGCAAAGGTCAAAGACAGAGACCGGACCAGGACCGCTCAGAACCGCCGCCGCTGTAGTCCTCTGGGTATCAGTGTGTGCAGGTCTGGGTCTCATGTTAGAGGATTCAGGTCTGCGGTCCTCCTCCCCGTCCCCTCTGTCCCTGAACTCAGCTGACTCTGTGAGGAAGTCAGTTTCACGTCTGAGTCGTTTGTGGAGCAGCGGTGGCGGCGGCGGTGGCGGCGGCGCTCTGGATAAAATGTCACACAACCTTTGAACGGACGCACTGATTGGATGACTCAGTGACAATTTAGGCGAAGCTAACCATCTTTTCACGGCTCGTCCTTTTCTGAGCGAGTCAATTAACTGGACAGAGAGGACACCGGGGCTGAGAGGAGGACTCCTAAATCCTCATCCAGAACCATGAACAGGTTCTGGACCAGATTCAGACCGGACTCTGACTCTAACGGGGATCATTGAGACGTTTGACGGTTTGTTTGGCCCATTTCTCCTGAGGAAACGAAGCTGTCTGATAATTATACAGAACCTTGATATAGAGTGTTGATCTCCTCAGGCCCCGCCCTCCTTCATTACACTAATACACATCACCTGATATACTTATATATATATAATTATATACAGTTTGGAAAATCTGCTTAAAAATGAGGATATATTTAAAAGACTCTCTCGTTTAATAATTGTGTCGTTCACAGTCGTTCCTCTTGTCTCCATCAGTTCAGGGTTTCATGTCTCTGTGGTTCTTTCTTCTCTTCTCTGTTCATCCAAACGTTCGTTCACTTCTCACCTGACTCTGTGTCTGCTGGGGTTTTTCGGAGCGTCTGTGTTTACCTGCTCTCACCTGTCCGCTCTCTCTCTCTCGTCTCTGTAAACACAGGAGCTAAAATTCAGAGTCAGGACAGGAGGAGACAGAAGAACTCTGTTTGTTTCTCTGTCTGCATGTTTTCTCCACATTAGAGTCCTGCAGAGATGATTTCATCTCCATTCTGAACCGCGTCCTTCCTCTCTCAGCTGATTGTAGATACTTTCATATCATCTGAAGTCGACTCGGGGTTTTCATGAGGTCACCGCGCCGGCGAGCTGGTAAACACATCCATCAAAGTGAGAGCTGACCCGTCATCAGAACACAACATGAGTCCTCTGGTATCAGCAGAACTAACCCCTCTGTTTACAGTCCGGACCACATCTATCATCAGAGTCTGAACAGGAGCAGGACCACGTGACGCAGGGGTCAGCTCAGACTCTCCCCGCCAACATGGAGGATGGATCTGACTGTCAGAGCGGAAGAAAGAAAATGTCCCTCTGTGTTTCGCTGGGATGGTTTTCCTCTGCTGCAGTTTCCCCAAAAACCTGCTGATGGATGATCGTGAAATCTGCGCCGACGTCACCGAATCATCAGAAATGAAAACCTGCTGACTTTAGAAATCCTCCGTTACTCAAAATAAACATCAAATATATTTAAAAAATCTGATAATAAAACCTGAAACTTTAAATTTAAAATTTCTAATCCCCAATTTTTACCACATCCTGAATGTCGACTAAAAGGTCGAATCGTTTGTGAGGCGAATTTCGTGGCGAATCGCGCGATAACAAGTTGTCTCTCTAAAGACAGACACATAGACATATAAGCAGTAGATTGTGTCCTTCCAGAGGAGGAAATCTACTTCTAGACTTCTAGAATCAGCATCTCCTCATCCATGGTGTCATCGGGGTGAAATGACGTCTAAAAACCTTTCACTTGTTCGTCTCCGCCCGTTTGCATGGTGTGAAATACGATCCTCCTGAAACACGGAGTGTTTTATTTTGAAAAGAAGCCGGATGTTTTATTTTGTGTCTGTGCCCGACTTCCTTTCCAGCACGGGTTAATCTGTGCTGAATTTATCCGCCATGCTCCGGCGTCCAGAAAAAATAGAACTCTTGTGATCAGCTGAGGAGTCTGGCGATCCGCAGAGGAACGGAAAGAAGTCGGTGTAAATTGACACGTTAACTTGAGTGGTTACGATCAGCTACGATGTGATTGGTCACTCACTTATTACCTGTAGGTGTGAATGTGAGTGAACTGGCGTCTCGTCCCTTCGCCCCAAAATGCTGGATTAGGTTCTGTATATGTGGTGGAAAATTGATGGATGGACCTTCACTCCTTATTTTATCAATCATGAGTGATCCAGGAGAGGGCGCTCTCATCGTAACCTGACCATTGAATGACCTCAGTACATTAATATAGTGATACAGTTTTTGTGGTAACAGGCTGTAAAGTCGTCACTAAACCAGGTGAGCCTCCCTCTCCAGTTCTGGTCCAGTTCTGGTCCAGTTCTGGTCCTGATGGTCTCTGTTTATTTGGGTATTTCCTCAGACTCAGAGTTTATAAACCTGAAGAGCTGATAAACTTCCTCCTTCAGCCGACTAACGTCCTTCATAAACTCGTGTCCCGTCTCTGAGGTTAAACGGCGTCCTCTGGGACCGCAGCAGTTCTGACCCCTGAGCCTGCAGGTGTGACGTTGGTAATAAAGGTTAATTGAGGGTGTAATTGTGTTTCCCTCTGAGAGCTCTGACTCCTCCTTTTGTCCTGAACAGGCTGAAGACATCAGAGTCATTTAGTTTATTCTGTTAAAGGTTTGTTCCACTTTTCAACGAGACGACGTGACGGCCCGTGAAACGTTTGTTTTATTTATGAACTTTTTAATTTGACGCCTCTGGTCCTGTGAAGGTGGTTTGATGTGGTGATCTCCACTCCAGAGTCCAGAGTCCAGAGTCCTGTCTCTGTCTCTGTCTCTGTCTCTGTCTTTAATCGTAGCGTACCTGCTCCTCTCCTCCACACTGACCTCATTATACCTGTGTGTATGTGCGTGTGTGTGTGTGTGTGTGTGTGAGTGTGTGTTAAGTTCTCAGCTGATGTATTGTTTTGATTGCCCTTTATTTACAAGGCCAATTAGACAGCTTTTCCCAGCAGTCTTTGCTGTAGCGGCGGAGCGGAGGAGGGTTCACCATGACAACCCGTCTCTTCTTTCTATAGACGACCACTTTATCGTTAACAAAACACAAACGCTGCTCAGAGCGCTGCTCCTTTTTCAGCCCAATTAAACGAACCCAGAGTGGATTCCTGCGAAGGTTTTTCTCACCGCCTGGATTTAGTCTCTGAATCGGGGTCCTCAGGAGACCAGGACTCTGAGGAAGTCTAGAGACTTTGTCTCTGCTCTGGTCCAGATTTCTGAGGCTCTTTAAAAACACTGAATTGATGCGTCCAGCAAAAATAGAAACCTTGCATACCTGATCCGGCCGCCGGAGCCGTTCCGCAGTAGAGCCGGACGCCGGACGTGGGGCGGATTGTGTGGAATGACTCACACTGATTATAATGCTTCAGATGTCATCCACCGGCCGTGATGGTGATGTTCTGGACCCTGTGGGTTTTGCCCGTGAGTTGTCGCGATTCCCGCTGTCCGTGGTCTGCCACGAAATTTGCCTCACTAACGGATCGGGTAGAATTTGATAGACGGCAGAAATCGCTGACGCTCTGGAGCTGAGCTGTTCTGGATGGGGTCAAAATTTGGGGTTAGAGAGGACGATATTAAGACAGAGGAGCAGAACCGTCAAGGACCCGCCTACAGGTGGACCAGGACAGAGTTTTCAGAAACTGACCCTGGAGACCGAAACAGACACAAAAGTACGGCGAGGACACAAACACACAACAACAAAACTCAGACACACAACTGTGGAAAAGTGACAGTCAATCAAAAGTTCTGATGTGGAAATAAAACTGTTTAGATTTTGGGGAAGGAGCTGAACTCAAACGTGGCGTCCTCTTATCTGTGTGTGTGTGTGTATGTGTGTCTGTGTGTGTGTGTGTGTCTGTGTGTGTGTGTGTGTGTGTGTGTGTGTCTGTGTGTGTGTGTGTGTGTGTGTGTGTGTCTGTGTGTGTGTGTGTCTGTGGGTGTGTGATTCGGCTCTTTCTTCTTCTCTTCTTGATGAGTTGTTTTCTTTAAAGCGCATCAGTCCTCCTCCTCCTCCTCGTCCTCCTCCTCCTCCTCCTCGTCCCTCTCTGTCTTCTTGATCATAATAATAATAATCAAAGTTTTTCTGAGTTATTTTGTCTCCAGAGGACAGATCCTGTGATATAAAAATATATAATCATTATTTCTAAATGTCCTTGAGCTTCTTCCAGAAAAGTGATTTCACCGAGGACTCTCTCTCTCTCTCTCTCTCTCTCTCTCTCTGTCTCTCTCTCTCTCTCTCTCTCTCTCTCTCTCTCTCTCTCTCTCTCTCTCTCTCTCTCTCTCTCTCTCTCTCTCTCTCTCTCTCTCTCTCTCTCTCTCTTTGGATATTTTCATTTTTAGAGTTCAGCTCAAAGTCATCAGGAAATATTAAAACCAGCCGAGCAGGATGTCAGACATTCATCAAAGTTTAGTGAGCCGCACAAATTAGGACAGAAGAAGAAGAAGAAGAAGAAGACCTGAGACCCAACTGTCCTCATGACCCCCCAGAGTCCTCTTCACTGGTCTCACACCTGTTGTTTCCAGCAGGTCTGAGTTTCCCTTCAGTCTGTTATCTTAACAAAGACAGAGGAGTCCGGCCGACTGAACTCATCTCTGAATTTATCTCTGCGAGTCAAAGATCGATTCTTCTGATCCGTCCACGCCGCCGTGATGAAGAGCGCCTCCGAGAAGATAAAGAGTTTATTTATCCCCGAGGAGGGAGGAGGAGCAGACATGCAGATGGTGATCGATCAGCTGAAGCTCGACTCTGAGAGAGAGATCAAAAATAATCCTGTCAGATCTCCTCAGGGACCAGACGAAGACGAGGAGGAGGAGGAGGAGGAATCAGTGCTGATCTGAGAAGATCTGCTCCTCAAACACCTGACCCCAGAGGTCCATCCAGACCTGAAGAAACTCCTGAGTCTCTGTGTTCAGTAGAGGTGGATTCATCAGTGTCTCCTGAAGGAGGACCTAAAGGAGGACTGTGTTAGTGAAGGTCAACCTGTGAGAGAGACTTTGGTTTACAGCGAGGAGGTGAGACAAACTCAGACCGCAGAGACGTCCGTCTTTAGAGGGTCTAACCCTCGATCTCCACCTTCATCCTGATCGTCTCCTAAAAGGTCGTATCCTCCGATCGTAGCTGATCGTAACCATTCAAGTTAACGTGTCGATTTACACCGACTTCTTTCTGTTCCACTGAGGATCGCCGGACTCCTCAGCTGATCGTAAGAGTTCTATATTCCACATTTCAACTGTTGTCAGAATGTGGTTTAGGACCATCTGAAGGTCTTCTCTGAAAAAATCTTTGTCTGGATGGACGTAGATGTTTCTCCTAAACCTGGAGATATTGTCTAAAACTGAGGATGCAGCATCTATGATTTCCAATTCTTCGTTGAAAGGACAGATGGACTTACTTGGGAGGTTTCGCCTAAGGCAAAGTAAGTCCAACTGTCCTTTCCAAAAGAGTTACCCCAACTTCCACCTTCATCCTGATCGTCTACTAAAAGGTTGTATCCTCCGATCGTAGCTGATCGTAACCATTCAAGTTAACGGTTATGATCATCTCACGATTAAGGCTGTCTGTAATCCGCCATGAAATTTGCCTCGCCAACACATCTGGTAGGAATTAGCGGACGGCGAAAAAATAGCCGCCGTTCCAGATCAAAGACGTTCTGGATGCGTTGGAAATCCTGGGTCAGGCTCCCTCAGGTGGGTCCGTTCTTTCTTCCTCTCCCCCCAGGATGGATCAATCCTCCTCCTCCTTCTGTTCTGAGTCTCTGCTGTGGTTCAGAGTTCCTGTCCAGGGTCCTCGGAGGTCTTCGCTCGCCTCTTCAGCCACACCCTCATGTTTGAACCTCCTCCTCTTCTTCTCTGGTGAGTTATCGTTCATAAAGTGAAGGATGTGAACTCTCTCCTCCTCTCTGTAGGGACAATAAAGATGGTTTAGCTGCTCTACATGTCGAGCGTCGTCCAATCATCTTCTTCTTCTGGGAGTTAACAGGTTATAAACATTAACGTTTGTGTTTCTGAGAGAGAGAGAGAGGGAGAGAGAGAGAGAGAGAGAGAGAGAGAGCGTCTGTCAGGTTCAGGAGTGATGAAGAGGAGGAGGAGGAGGAGGAGTCCTCAAATCTGAATTTATTCTGATGAACTCTTTGTTTCTCCTCCTCCTCCTCCTCCTCTTCGTCTCTCTGACTCTTGTATCTTCTTATTCATCACCACTTCTCCTCTCCGTGACCTCTTCTTTTATCGCCTTTTCTCTCCTTCTTTGTTGTTTTTCTCTCTCCTCCCTCACATCCTCCCTCCCTCACTTCCTCGTCTTGTTTTCTCCCTCCTCTGGTTTGTAATTAATCCCCTCGTCTTCCTACACTCGTCCGTCTCCGTGGGGATTTGAGAGGAATCCTTTAATTACTCCTCGCTCACGAAAACTCAACTTTTCACCCTTATGACAACTTTTCCTCGGATGACCTCCGATGGATTTTTTGGAGGAAGAAACCGTAAAAATCGACTCAGTCCTCCCCTCCCCTCCCCCCCCCGTCTGTTTTTAAAGTCTCATTAAGTGATGTGTTTGCTAAGAGAGGCTCGGATTCAAACATGGAGGTGAAGCCCTGGAAGAGGAGTGGAGGTGGAAATCAGAGTCTATTCAAAGGGTAATGATGTGTGTATGTGAAGTCACGCTGACTGACATTTCACGACTGTAGTCTGCACACACACACACACACACACACACACACACACACACACACACACACACACACACACACAGAGTGGTGTTGATGGATTTTGATCCACCCAGCGGATTATAAATTCAGGAGCTCCATGATCTCCTCTCTGCAGCGCGAGGAGCTTGTTTCAGGAAATTTATGTCAAACAAATGAATGTTTGAAGGTCGTGGAAATTTATGTTGATTGGAGCAGAATTTCAAAAACACGGAGGGTAGAGTCACGGCCTCATCTCCATGTGAGACTGTGGTCTGAGTGTCTGAGAGCAGGAAACTGGAGATTTATGTTTCTGCACAGCAAACACCAACACGGGGATTTCTGCAGCGCTGGAATAAAAACTAAAATTAAGGGTTTTAATGCAAATAATGAAGATTTTGATTCATAACCAGTAAAAACTCCTGACAGGAGCTTTAAAATCCTCTCTGTCCATCATCACGTCCCCACCTGAAGATCTGCACCTCCTAAGTGTCCTCGTAGTGACCATGCTGACCTGAATTTTAGTCACTGTCTGGGTGCAGAATGAGGTGATTTTGAGGCGCTCCGAGTACGATCCAGTGTCCAATCAAGTTTTATTTTACCATTTAATGAAAAACAAACAAACAAAAAAAGAAAAGACAACTTACGACGATGGTGCAGTGAGCTCTTCCTGTTCCCCAAATCACTGCTCCACCTGTGTCCCTTTTGTAGCTTTTACCTGCCCTTTCATCTGAAGCGCCCCCTGTGGTGATTGTACGAGTAACAAAACAAAACCCCAAAAATAACAAAGATAAAATGGCTCAAACAGTCCTCACTTTTCTGTTTCTACTTAGTTTAAGACTTTAATAAATCTGTCTTTTCTAAAAGTCCAGATTATTTAAATTTTCACAGGGTCCCCATAAGTTCTGTAACTGAACACGGTCCCCACAAACCACAAAGACGAGAACACGCTGACAAACACTTGTTGCTGATGGATCAACTTATTAAAGCAGCAAATATTAACGCCGCGCCCTTCAAAATAAAAGGATCTGACTTTGAAACCGCTGTGTGTGTGTGTGTGTGTGTGTGTGTGTGTGTGGTGCTATTTTAAACAGCAGAAGACAGATGGGACAAAGATAAATTCTTCACAGAGATAAATTGGACGGTCGGGCAGAACTTGCTGCAGGCGAATCAGATCAGTACAATATGACTCTCTCTCTCTCTCTCTCTCTCCCTCTCTCTCTCTCTCCCTCCTACCATCTTTTAATCACAGGTTCCAGTGTGTGCTTCTCCAGATGTATTTCAGTATTCTGGTATTAGTCATTTGTACTCAGGCGAATAAGACAGTCATGGCGGCGGCGGCGGCGTTAATAAGCGCTCTCTCTCACTCTGTCATTGTTAGAAAAGGACGTTTAGTTTTCGGTGTTTTTCAGACTCTGTCAGTCTGAATGTCGAGACATTTAAAGGTTTAAATTATAAAATCAGATAACATGAGTCCAGACCTACAGAGAGTAGATGTCCTCTGGTCCTCAGAGTTTATAAAAATACAAACATTTATTTTACACTGAGTATCTCTGACTCTATGAAAACAGTTCTATACTGACTAGATATAGTGTACTATATATACTATTATATATACTATATACTGAACTATATATACTATTATATATACTATATACTGTACTATACTATTATATATACTATATACTGAACTATATATACTATTATATATACTTTATACTGTCCTATATATACTATTATATATACTATATACTGTACTATATATACTATTATATATACTATATACTGTACTATATATACTATTATATATACTCTATACTGTACTATATATACTATTATATATACTTTATACTGTACTATATTTACTATTATATATACTACATACTGTACAATACTGATAAATTGCAGAACTGGAGAGACTGACATAGACCTAGATCTCAGTAGACTCAGACTGGTATAGAGCTAGATCACAATAGATTCAGACTGATATAGACTTAGATCAAAATAGACTGACTGATATAGATCTAGATTACAGTAGACTCACACTGATAAAGACCTAGATTGTGATAGACTCAGACTTATATAGACCTATATCATAGTAGACTCAGACTGATATAGACCTTGATCACAGTAGATTCTGTTTTTGGTTTGACTCCTGAAGGTTTGGAGTATTATGAGATGGGGATCCTAGAGATTTATACTTGCTCTCTGTGTTCGATGGTATAGATATTTAAGACCTAGACTGCTCTTAGGTTTTCTTAAGCCTAGAAGGCTGCAGAAGTTTGAGGCAGAAACCAGAATTAAGGTTAAGACTGCTCTAGACTCAGACTTCTATAGACTGTTGAGGGTCAAATCACTGACCTCGTATCTTCTGGGTCTGGGTTTCCTCATGGTCCAGGTTCTTCTGTATGAACCTGTAGATGGTCTTCTGTTGTGGACCTTCCTGAACTTCGAACATCTCTCTCTCTCTCTCTGTTTTATTACGTCGGTTTTAAAGCTGATGTGAGTTTTAGAGGATTTGGACTCTGACTCTTTAAACTATCGTGTCTCTGAAGTAGATCTGGTGTTATTGTGTCTCTCTTCATGTTCTTCTGTCGTTGTTAAGTGAAGGTCTTTCTAACATCTGTGCAGATCCTCCTCCTCCTCCTCTCTTAAATCATATTTCAGCAGTTTAGTTTTTTCTTATTTTAATGAGTCTTTCTTTGACGCTCTGTGAGTTTTGGCGCTTGTTTCTGTTTTTATTTCTCTCTTAAATGTTTTTGTCTAAACTTCTCTTCTTCTCTGTCCTCCTCTGCTCCTCTGTGGTGAATCTGACGCTCAGTAATTTCCCCGGGGATAAATCAGCTCCTGTTGTTTTCTTTTTTCTCTCCTCATAGATATTTTTTTCATGAGGTTTGAATTTATTTATTTATTTTATTGAAGCAGAACAGCCTCTCTGTGAAGTCCTGGACTGGATCTTTTTATATCATGAGGATAAATAAAGTCATTCACACTCAGGTCAACGCCTCTCACTTTAATCTGAAACCGTAAAACTGCGTCACAGTCGACGTACAAAAGAAACGAAACTTCAACCATCAAACATCAAAATCCAGAAAAGACACCAGTTTATAAAAACCTCTTCAGACCAGGTTTAGGTTTAGAACCCGGACCTGTGCAGGACCCGGACTGTGATGTTGGAGGAGAACCGATCTTTAGAAAACCTGCTGAGCTAACGTTCGTCCTCCAGTAACATCTATGTGTTTGAGATCTAGACCCTTCATTCATAAACCTGACAGCCTCTCATAAACCTCGGACCAGCGTCACACGTACAGAGCTCTAAAACGATTTCACTTCAGAGGTTAAATCAGTCAAAATCCTGTTTTCCTCCAACATTACAGCCCCGTCCTCTTTGTTCTTTATTTCTGCACATTTGGAAACAAACAAAATCACACAGTTTCAAAGGAAACTGGAAACATGATCCTCTTTAACATTTAGAAAAAAACAATCGTCTTCATGAGATCTCCTCCTTTAACCATCAGATCAGAGATTTAATCCTCGTCTCACAATCATGAACATTTATTCACATTAATCTGCACAAAATACAAATATAGATTTATCTCAGTGGTCTCTGTAACGTCGTTATCACAAACATGAAAATAGTTCTATCAGTCTGAGACAGGAACCACAGAAGCAGCAGGAACCTCCTCCTCCTCCTCCTCCTCCTCCTCCTCCTCCTCTCACGGAGGTGGTTTTATCGGTCCTCTGCAGGAGTCCGGAGTCCCAGAGCGTTGCGCTCATCCTGGATCTCCCTCTTGAGACATCAGCGGTTGATAAGGTGTCAGGAAATCCGGTCTAATCCTCCTGATCCACCAACAAGGTGAGACGGGAGGTCGAGGTCACCTGACTGAGGAGGCGAGGTGAGCTGAGGTCACTGCTCCTGTCTGCACGTGTGCAGAAGGACGTCTCACCTCACCCACCTGGACTCTCCGCCCTGTTCTTCTTCGGCTCTTTACCCCCCGACTTAAACCGACAGCTGAGTTCAGACCAAACCTGAAGGACCGTGATCTCATGATTTAAACACCAGACTGACTGTAACACCGTTATAATTATCTTTTTAAATTTCACTTCAGAAATAAAAATTTATCAGTTAATCCTGAACTTTTCATTCATGCCTGAATATTTAACATTTTTCTGGAGATTTATCCTTTTTATTTTTGTTGAACATAAAGAAAATAAAAACAGTACGGTTGTTTAAATACTGCTCAAAGCTGCTGAATTCAGTTAATATGTCATATTTGTGTCTCTATGATCTCTGTGTGTTTTAGAGGGTCAGACCAGGAGGCCTGCAGAGATCTTGGATCAGGTCAGTTTTTGAAGACTGTGGTGAAAGGAGCTTTGTCGCGTCTCTTAGAGGATTCTTAGTGTTATTATAATTATTATAATTATTAATGGTGGTGGACAGACGGCTCCTCTTTTGTACCAACAGACATTAGACTTTAAAACTCTGCTGTAAATAACAGAGATAACATGTCGAGTGAGACACAGACGATTGAATTCACCTTCGGGGATTAATTAAGTTCTTCTTTTTTTAATTATTATTTATTTATTTATTTGTTTGTTTGTTTGAGAGTCGTTAAGTGTTCAGGTCTGAAGGTTAAAGACACGTATTCACTCTGACGGCCTAAAATAAAGAGATTAAAACTGAAATAAACGACGTTTTGATGCAGATTTAAGTCCGTCTGAAAGGTTTTAAGTGAGTTTTTAAAACCTTTTCTTTTTATTTAAGTGATCTCAGGTGTTTGAAGATCTTTAACAAGATGACGTGAACCTCCTCACCGTCTTATTTCCTGTCGTCGTTGTTTTTGGTCTGAACTCGGCGGATTTTTTAAAAACCTTTTAAACTGGATAAAAAGGATTTTAAGTTTTTTTAAGTCCTGACTCTGATCAGCTGATCTGGATTCCTCTGACCCTCTTTCGTCTCAAACCGTCTGTCTCTGTTTCCTCGCCGGACTTCACAAGCTCCGCCTCTCTAAACTCCTGACTGTGAGGCACTTTGACCTCTGACCTCTGACCTCTGAAGTTTGGACCGTGTTCGAGGCGTCGCTCCGGTTCACACGCAGCTCTCGTCCTTCTTGTCCTGCTTGTGTCTCTCCGTGTCCCGTCCCGGTAAAGAAAAGTCCTTCACGCCGTTTTGAAGCTTCCCGACGTCGCCGAGCGGCAGCTGGGTGGAGCTGTAGGCGAGCGGCGGGATGGTGTTGACCAGGATGAGCTGCAGCGGTTTCTTCTCGGGCGTGTACTGACAGCGGACGTACCTGAGGAACGCCGCCCTGTACGTCTTATTGAAGAGCGTGTAGACCAGCGGGTTGACCGCCGAGGACAGATACCCCACCCACACGAAAACGTTCAGCAGGCCTCCCATGACCCCGGCGTCGCACACGGCGGGGTCGCACACCACCTGGAGCACGTTGGTGATGAAGAAGGGACACCACATGACCACGAAGAGGAAGAAGACCACCCCCAGGACTTTGGACGCCTTCTGCTCGTTGCTGATGGACTGCATGGTTCGCCGTCCAAACAAAGATCCAGAGACGCTGTCTCGAGCGCCGCCGCCGCCGAGCCCGCCGCTGCTCCCTCGTCCTCCGGCCTCGCGGCTGATGGAGCGTCTGAAGAGTTTCTCGGAGGACAGGGAGGTCTGCGGGAAGAAGCTGAGGGTGAAGGTGGTGCTCCATTTGGGACGGGGGACCAGCTGGTCCAGACAGAGGGTGGCCTCGTTCTGGAGCGCGTTGATGGTCAGGAAGTAGGTGACCACCATGATGGTGAGCGGGACGAAGAACGCCACGAAGGAGCCGACCAGGACGAAGTTATTATCCGTCAGGAAGCAGCTGCCATCTTTGAAGACCTTAGAGTGGTCTCTGAGACCCAGGACCGGGATCGGCATGGAGATCCCTGCAGAGACAGAGGACAGAGACACACAGGTGAGGACAGAGAGGTGAGGACAGATAGCGACAGGTGAGGACAGGTGGGGACAGAGAGGTGAGTACTGGTGAGAGGGACAGGTGAGGACAGAGACACACAGGTGAGGACAGGTGAGAGGGACAGGTGAGAACAGAGAGGTGAGTACAGTTGAGAGGGACAGGTGAGGACAGGTGGGGACAGAGAGGCAAGGACAGGTGAGGACGGAGACACAGGTGAGGACAGAGAGACAGGTAAAGACAGACAGGTGAGGACAGGTGGGGACAGAGAGGTGAGGACAGAGACAGACAGGTGAGGACAGGTGAGAGGGACAGGTGAGAGGGACAGGTGGGGACAGAGAGAGACAGGTAAAGACAGACAGGTGAGGACAGGTGGGGACAGAGAGGTGAGGACAAAGACAGACAGGTGAGGACAGAAAAACACAGGTGAGGACAGGTGAGAGGGACAGGTGAGGACAGAGAGGTGAGGACAGGTGAGGACAGAGAGGTGAGGACAGGTGAGGACAGAGAGGTGAGGACAGACAGGTAAAGACAGAAAGTGGGGGCCGGACAGGTGAGGACAGAGACAGACAGGTGAGAGGGACAGGTGAGGACAGGTGAGGACATGTGAGGACGGAGACACACAGGTGAGGACAGCCAGGTGAGGACAGGTGGGAATGGAGACACAGGTGAGGAGAGACAGATGAGGACAGACACACCAGTGAGGACAGAGGCAGACGGGTGAGGAGAAAGAGGTGAGGATGGACAGGTGAGGACAAACAGTACAGATGAGGACAAACAGGTGAGGACAGACAGGTAAAGACAGACAGGTGAGGACAGGTGAGTGGGGACATTCAGGACTCAGTTCTCAGGACTGAAAACAGGATTTTTAAAAATGTTTTAAAGTTTCAAACTAAATCAAATTTAAACTTTTTTAATCTCGATCTTAAAAACTCTTTAGACCTCCATACAGTCCCAGTTTTCTGTCCTCCTGCAGGTCCAGTTTGACACATTTGTCCTCAGAGACGCTCAGATATTTGACGCCGCTCCTCTCTTTTTCAAACGTGTCACATTTCCCATTAAACTGTATTTTTCCATCTGTCAGTCTGTCACCGTGTGGGAGGAAAGTTCTGGTCTGTTCTGACCCGGTGTCAGCGGCCTGTGAGGGTCCAGTCTGGACCTTCACCTGGAGACTGTTCTTGTTGTCTGAGCGGGTCAGGATCTCTCTGTCCTGATGTCTCTGCCGGAGGTGAACCCCGCCGTCTGCAGCCACACGTTTACCCCGAGACTAAAAATAACCCGTCCAAAACCAGGAGTGAGGGACAGATGTAAGGAGGAGGAGAGCAGGAGGTGATAAAGTCAGCAGTCCTCTTCATGCTGTGTTCTCATTACCTGCTCGTCACAAACAGGAGCGAAGGAGAGAGGAGGAGGAGGAAGAAGGAGAGTTTGACAGACACGCTGAGGGAGGACAGAAAATGTGACTGCAGCCCGTCGGGAGCAGAGGAGGTCAAAGACAGATTGGACCAATTTAGTCTGAGCGGTTTGATGGAAACCCTGCTGGACCCGCTCAGCCTGGAGCGTTTCAGTCTGCAGACAAATAAACAGAAATCTGTGTGGGTCAGTCATCTGTTCTGTTTCACAATCTACATACATACATCTACGTCAGACCTGCACTGATACAAAGACAGTGAGAGTTAAACTGTTTAACAAGGAGGACTGAGACAGACGTGATCCGTCAGTGTCTGTATTTTAAATGATGTTTTTTTTTTTCATTTATTTGTTTATTTTTTTAAATTTATTTGTTTATTTTTTTTATTTGTTTATTTATTTGTTTATTTTTTATTTATTTTTTATTTATTTGTTTATTTATTTTTTTATTTTTTGACTTATTATTATTATTATTATTATTATTATTATTATTATTATTATGTTAGCAGCAGCACAGACAGATGTTAATAAACACAGACAGACAGACGGACAGACAGATCTGTGTCTGTGAGTCTCCTTCAGTCTGTCTGTCTGTGATCCTGGAGGTGAAGAGCTCCTGAATATTCAGGTAACAGTGGATTACAGGTGAGCGCTGATGCTTCAGAGTGTCCTTGTATTAATGGAAATAAGATAAACAAACAGGAGTGACAGACGGAAAAGACGGAGAGTTCAGCACCAAGGACAGCTCCATAAATCTGCTCCAGCCGTCACGTCTGATCAGTTTCCTTTTATTTCTGTTTATTCATGTTTGTTAAATTTCCTTTATTTTGACACGTTCATGTTTTATATCCTTCCTGTTTTATTTTGAAATCACTAACTCTTGTTTCTGTCTTCTAGTTTTGTTCCTGTCTGCCCCGCCCCCGTCTCGTCACACCTGTCTCCTGATTGTGTCTCCTCACCTGTTCCCTTTTTTGAGTTTTGTTGAGTTTAACCCGCTCGGACTAAAACTTGATAAACTTTATTTCAGCGTACATCCATGTGTGTCTGTGTGCGTGCACTCCCTCTCTTCTCCTCCGTGCACTAATGTGTAAATCCTGATGTCACGTCCAATCAGATCAGAGCGTGACCACAAACACGCCTCCTCTTCTTCGTCTTGATAACCCCGAGGAGGAGGACAGGAAGTCTGCGTGTGTGAGTAAGAATGAGAAACTAACCCGGAGTCGTTAATCCCTGACATAATCTCATTGGGTCGTGGGCGGCTGCAGAGCGTGGCGTGCTGCAGAGGAGCGTTTGGCGAGCTATGATGCTGCCTGAGGGTGTGGACCTGCTGCTCCACGCTGACATCATGTGATCCAGGCGTCACCTCGCTGTTCGATCACGAAGGGTTAACCTTTAAAACTCTGACGTCTCGATCACCGCGGAGAACTGAGCAGATATCAGAGAGACGACAGACCGCATCAGTCTCAGCGAGGAGACGATTCCCGCTTATCCAGATCCTGATCTGGACCAGAGGAAGTGGAATTATCTGAGCGACTCTCATTATCAGCTGAGCAGAGACAGAGCGGACGAGGAGAGACGACAGGAGGTCAGGACCTCAGACCTGAGAGCTGATGACCACTAAACTCAGGTCTGAGATGAAGAAACTCGACCAGAGGACAGAAGAGAGTTTAGAGTTTAATAAAGTTTCTCCTCCTTCATGGATCAGACTTCTTCTTCTTCTTCTTCTTCTTCTTCTTCTTCTTCGTCTTCTTCTTCTTCTTCTTCCTCTTCATGGATCAGACTTCTTCTTCTTCTTCTTCTTCTTCTTCTTCTTCTTCTTCTTCTTCTACTTCTTCTTCTTCTTCAGCAGCTGTCCGGTCTCTGTTCTGTTCTCGTTTTTATAAAAACTAAAGTCTGATCTTCTTCTTCTTCTCTGTCTGTTTGGGCTTTTTTTAAACATGGTAGACGGTCGTCATGGAGACACATTAAAAGCGATCTTTATTCTAATGAAACGACGTGAGTGTGGTGACTCTGACATGAAGAGCCTCTGAATGGCTGTTTCTGACTGACTGGAGGACATTAATGTGTCTGAGGCTCGGAGTTTTAATGGAGCTGAAGGCTATAAAAGGCCTAAACAGACTCAACGACCACGAGCACACGCACAGAGGTTTTAGCGTCCGTTCAGCTGAGGTCAGACCTCATGTATTCACCAAACTCCTGAAAACTGACCTCGACTTTCAGGTTGAGCTGAAATCGTTGATGGAAAAACGTAAAATCTTCACTTTTCCTGCAAACTCACAGATTATTTTAGTGTTTTAAAGTTCGGGTTTAATTCTCCGTGGATCATGTGACTTCTCGGTCATGATGTGAAGACTGAAGATGTCTCCTCACGTGCTGCATCCATTTAGGACTTGGGGCTCTATTTTCGTGCCTCGCCGGCAGCGTGGCGTAGGCGTGCCGACAAGGCGTGCCCAAGCACATTTTAGTATTGTGGTGAGCGGCGCAGCCCGGCTTAAGTCCCCCCTCCCTAACTCAGCTCCTCCCAGCGGCGTAAGTCGTAGAGAGGGCGGGGATAAGGCGTGGAGTGGGTTTAACACAGCTGAGACCTGTTTTCACCAATCACATCAGCTCCTCTCCTCACCTTTAAATCCTCCACCGGTGAGGCGTATTACTATTTTAGTGAAGTAGTCAGAGAGATCAAGAGATGTCTGAAGACAGCAATGCCACACGATGGCGACAGAAGGCAGCTCCTCAACAAGTGTCGCTGTAAGCGCTGCAGAGGGCGTCCTGCACACGCTCAGACAGACACGTGTGACCCGGTCTCCTGAAACTCTGAGAGGATCTGAAGTTGAAAACAGAGTCCTTCTTTAAAATCTGTCTCTCTTTTGTTTTGTCTTTTGCGGCGCTGCATCGTCTTCATGCCGTCGTTCATTTTCACCCGGCGAGTGTAAATAACGGATTCACAGAGTTAATCTGCAGCCCGCCGTCTGCAGCTCCGTCATTACATTTCCTGCTCATCAGCTCCATTGACCTGAGCAGCTGGAAGCCGGCCAGGCGAGCAGGAGCCAATTACGAGAGCTGATTGTTCCCTCGCCTCCGTCAGGATCAGACGCAGTCAGGAACGTCACCGCTGAGCTGAGCGGAGACAGAATTACGCCGTCTCTGCAAACCACCGCTGTTTTCATGAAGAGTTTCCACGTCTGACCGTGACCTCTGACCTCAAAAACATTTATGTAATACTTGAAACTCTGAAGAGCGTGAGACGTTCAGGAGCTGCTCCACCGACAAAGAGGAGAGACTGACGGTGAGGGAGGACCTTCAGTCAGAGGAGGACAGAGCGGTGTTCATCAAACTCTGAGTGTGTGTGTGTGTGTGTGTGTGTGTGTGTGTGTGTGTGTGTGTGTGTGTGTGTGTGTGTCCTCACCCACGGAGATGGTCCACACAGCCATGATCTTGATCCGGGCCTTGGTGTGGGAGTTGAAGCGGCTGTGGTGGATCGGGTTCCTGATGCCGATGTAGCGATCCAGAGAGATGGCGCACAGGTGCATGATGGACGCCGTGGAGAACAGGACGTCCAGGTAGATCCAGATGGGACAGAGGTCAGAGGGCAGCGGCCACCCGTAGTCTGCAGAAGGAGGGGTCAAAGGTGAGTCAGAGACTGTGAGTGTTTCTGTTCTTTTCTTTCACAGAAAATGAGAGAAAAATCAGTTTTAAAGCAACTTTTCTTTGAGGCTCTGAGAGTCCAGGATCAAGTCCAGACTCTTGACCTGAATCTGAACCTCTCAGTTCTTCTTCTTCTGTGTTATTTAAAGTCTGTCTGTGACCCTCTGAGTGGATGAGGCGTTTTATGTCTGAGAGGTAAAAACACTCAGAGTCTGAGAGTGTCTGAACTTCAGACTTTCTCTGAACCTGTTTCTGTAACATCAGGACTGGATCCTGTTAGACCTGGATCAGGTTCATGATTGTGGATGAAAACTGTGAAACAGACTCAGGGACGTAAACTCATGTTTTCTGTCTGTTTTTTATAAACTCTGGTTTTGGATCACCTCCTGCGTGTTTTTCTCCCGGAGCTGAAACTCTAAATCACTCAGAGCTGATCTGATTAATTTAAACTTCAGTTTTTTAGATCGATAACGACATGACTGGGGGATGAATCTTAATTACCTAAAATTACTAAATGTAACTTTTCTTTAGTTTCAGTCGGCACGACAACAACCTGTCGAGTCATTTTAAGGAAAACATCGGAAACTCTGCAGGTGAAAGAGTGAGTTAGTACAATGACTGAAACTACATCCTATGAATGAATGAATGTTTAGTAGATGAAGTGATGATGGTGGGAGGTTCTGGGACTACATAAAGGTAAATAAAGACCTCCAGTAGGTTTTAGGGCTGTCCTTTGAGAGATGAAAAGTCTGTCACAGTAAACTCTTAATAAATACCTGTAGAAAAAGTTTTCCATAAACTGTGAAAAGTTCAGTAAAAACTTGAATTAAAAACAAAAGGTTGATAAGGACATGTTTGAGGACCAGAAGACGAACAGACGGAGAATAAACAGAGTTAGTCTGAAGAACACCTGAGACAAACAGACGAATGTAGAAACTGACAAACACCAAGAAATCCTGATAAATATGTGATTATTGATCACTGATAACTCTGAATACACGTCAGGTCTTCTGTCCATTCAACAGTAAATACAGAGTATATGACGTGTTCACTGCTGTCCTTTTATTAAGTCCTGTCTGTTACACTAAAACACACTCTTACACACTCTTGTAAAGCCCTCGAACCCTCTCACTGGTTTTGGGAACTTCACTCTATAATGTTGTCGGTTCTAAAGAGTCTTTTCAGAGAGGAAGGAGAAGTCTGTCCAGTTTTAACCTAACAAATCTTTTATCAAAGAAGACCTGTTCAAGAAAACCACAAAGGATCCGCGTTAGCACCAAAAACCTGCTGTTACCATGGAGACGGTCCATCTGAGCGGAGTTAAAGCTGCAGCTGTTTGAGCTCAAATCAGGGGGTTGATTTTTCTGGTTAAAGTTATTCTGGACTGAAGTTTAATGAAGTTAATAAAATCCGTTTGGATCTGGATTCTCCTTTTTCACTCACGTTTGATCCGGTCTGATGCTTTAAATCTGATCAGGATACTCTAAAGAAACCAGGTCAGGAAGGTTTAATTCAGAGGTTAAATCATCGTCAGATAAAATACAGAAATCATCATTTTCTGAGTGTCATGATCTGTTCTGTTTATTGAGTTTTCTCCTGGTTTTATTATCTGAGTGTGTTTTTGTGTATTTTCCCCTGTCGTCCAGTCTTTGTGTTTGACTCTGTTTCCCTCCTCTTCTCTGTGTTTTATTCTCTAGATCAGTTTTCAGTGTTTATTTCCTGTTTTATTTTGTAGGAGTTGATTCCTTGTGTTTCTGGTTTTTCTTCCCCAGTTTTCCCTCCTTCGTTAATCACTCATCTGTCTCACCTGTGTCTCGTTCACCTGTGTGTGTTTATAGTCCCTGTCTTCCCCTCTGTTCTGGTTGGTTCATTGTGTGTCTGTCAGTGTGTGTGTTTACGTATGTGTTAGTCTCTTTGTGTTTTTTCTCTCCGTGTCTTTCTGTTTCTTCAGATTTTCCTCCTCATGTTTTTTTTCAGCCTAAATGTGAACGAGCAGGTCGAGCCGTTTGACTGTTTCCACCCTGATCCTCACAGACTGAGACGAGGACGATGATACAGTTCAATCAAACTTCAGTGAGCGCTCAAACCTGCCGACTACATACATGACATTAACATGTCGTCTTATATCACATTATTTATGAGGTTAAAAACTGCAGCTGAGTTTGAGCTCATCACACTGACAAACACTCATAAACACAGACATGAAACCTGCTGCTATAGGTACACACACACACACACACACACAATAACAGACACACACACACACACACACACACAATAACAGACACACACACAGACACTAAAACCATCAGCTCTAAAAATAGTCCCATAAACTGATCACGAAAGCGGTCGGCGAGCAAATATGATTCCATGAAATATGGTGGATATGGAGGTGAGCGGGCGCAGAGAGGTTTTTATTATCTATAGATCAGAGCGAGGAGGTTATTTATAGACTCTGACACTGACAGGAGGAGGTTTAGAGGAGCACAGACAAACAGAAGAAAACCAGAATAAAACCAGAATAAAACCAGAATAATCACATTTCTGTCCGACAAAGACAGAGATCAACCCTGAGGTCCTTTAAAAACAGATTCAGTCTGAGAAGACGAAAAAGAGCCGCTCTGTAAAATCTCCTGAAATAAGATGATCCATGAAAGGGTTTATCCTCCCTACGGTGGCCTTTAAGGACATTTCACGCTGTCTGTGGACCGTTGGCCGTGTCAGAAATGGAGGCAGGAGGAGTCTCTGAGAAAGAGTCTCTGTTCTTCCTCTCAGCTGTAAATCTAACCTCGTGTTTATCTAGTAAATTCAGGGTCTAACTCGGAGTCTAACAGACCTTCAGGGTCAGATCCTGATCTCTGCAGAGTTTTCGACGCTCTGACTCCTGATTTCCTCTCTGTGAACATCAGAAAAGGAGCAGACTCTCTCTGTCCGTCATCTTCTCTAAACTGGATCTTCAGATCATCTCTGCAGAAACACCTCAGACTTCACCATCATGGACTTCTTTAATACTTTTAGAGATAATCCTGATTTTCTCTCTCCTCCGTTTACAGTCGATGTTTTTCGTGTAAAAGTTTGAAGGCTCTGAACTCTCCTAAAGTTCCTCTGTAATCACAGTCGTCAGATTTGATCCTGTTATTCAGTCTTTTCAGACCTTCAGACGTTAAAAACACTCGCTGACGTTTTAATGATGGTCTGGATCAGTCTGGAGCTACAGCAGCTTTTACAGCTCAACCTGAAACTCCTGCAGGACTCTGGAGTCCACATTACTGATCTGAGCTCCTGATGATGGGTCAGGAGGTCTGAGAGGAACAGGAACTGTACTGGACTCACTTTAGAGCAGGATGAACCACAACTTTGAACCTTTAACCTTTCAGATCCTCGAGTCAAAACGATGATCAATACTTATTGATTATTTGGTAATATAACGATATCTCTGTGTTCTCTTATGTCGTCAACATTTGGACATTTTTGAGCCTCAGACCTGCAGCTTCAGGTTCTCCTCAGACTCACAGAAATCAGATCTAATCAAACTCTCTCAGTTTTGTAGCTTTTTTGTTTCTGGTGTCACGGCCTCCTCAGTTCCTCCTCAGATCCTCCTCAGATCCTCCTCAGATCCTCCTCAGGTCCTCCTCAGATCCTCCTCAGGGTTCGGATAAGTACAGAGACCGAGCTGTGAGGATCAGAGACAGACCTTCATCCACACCCTCCTCTTCCTCATCCATACCCTCCAAACGACAGGTGAGGGACGACCTGATGGAAGATTTTACGATTTCAGAGAAGATGACTCATCTGTTCTGCTCCGTGTCGCCATGGTCACCGCCACACTCCTCCTCCTCCTCCTCCTCCTCATCTTCATCGTTCCTCTGCTCTGATTCCCTTTTTTCCTCTCCGTCCATCATCTCTCCTCGGCTCTCCTTCCTCATCTTCTTCTCTCTCTCGTTGTCCTTCTTTTCTCCTGAACTCCAGTTTCCGTTTCGTCTCTAAATTTAGTTTTTAGTAGAAATAAAGAAACTCTCAGTCCTGATTCTGCACTCAGAAGAACACGACTCTTCCTAAAACACAAGAGGGACACGTGTAGATCCTGAACGTGAGAATAAACCTGCTGAGAAGAAGAAGAAGAAGAAGAAGAAGAAGAAGAAGAAGAAGAAGAAGAAGAAGAAGAAGAAGAAGAAGAAGAAGAAGAAGAAGAAGAAGAAGAAGAAGAAGAAGAAGAAGAAGAAGAAGAAGAAGAAGAAGAAGAAGAAGAAGAAGAAGAAGAAGAAGAAGAAGAAGAAGAAGAAGAAGAAGAGTGGAGAGTCGTTTCTCCGGGTGGACTTCGATCAGGATGAAAAGTGTCGGAGTTAAAAAAGTAAAAACCTTCAGTCGGAGGAATTAAAGCGGTGTGTTCACGTCTGAGTCTGCTCACACTGAAATATCGAACCTGATCGAACCTTCAGAGAAGATCAGGAGGTTCTTCTGATGGTTCTGGTGGAGATAAACCAACATGAACATCGGTGTGACGTGAACTTTGAGAGCAGCTGAAAATAAAACATAAAATCCTCTAAAGAGACGGACTCATGAAGACCAGGACCCTCTGCTGATGAGGACTGAGGTGTTTCTACAGGTGAGGATCCCTCTGTGAAGGAGAGGAGGAGGTGTGATGGTGACGTGGTCTAAATTAAGGACCCCCATAACCAGCTCCACATGTCGTCCCGTCTGTTTGAGCCGAGAGAGACCGAGACCTGGACCAGGTTCTGTGAGGGTCAGATAGACCTGGTCTCCTCAGTCACATGATCTGAACCGGAGTGAACCGGTTTGGGGTCGAGATCCGAGTGAAGAGAAACCAGCTGAAGTCTCTGATTCTGGTTTATAACGGATCCCAGTCAGACCTGGAGTCCCTCAGGGCTCTGTGCTCGGTCTTCGACTCTTCTCCCTGTGCATGCTCCTCCTCCTCCTGCTCCTCCTCCTCCTGCAGGAGTTCAGGAGTAAAAGACTTTAATTTAATGAGTTTAGCTTCTGAGAAATAATCAGCAGGAGAACCTCAGGAGGAGGACTCAGAGTCGGATCTGTGACCGCTGAATGATCGAGGTCGTGTGGAGGTCATGTGGAGGTCATGAGGAGGTTTTTCTGAGCTGTTTTATGAGGAATCAAAAGAAAATCCTCCTTTCATGAAACATCTTTCTGACTGTTTTTACTGACACGACAAACTGGTTTGGAGTCCTAGAACCACCACAGTCCACCTGTAGAGGATCAGGGATCATTGAAAAACCGGTCCCAGTCTCATCAAACATGGCGGACCCACATGGACAGGAACTGAACCCTTTACCAGACGACCTCAGACATTAAACCACACACATGAGAGGAAGTCCGTTAAAGTCAGTGTTCTGAGTCGGCGTTAAAACCGTCTGGAGCTCTAAAGTCTGGACTCTCTCCAACAGGAACTCCTGCTTTAAAGGAGAGACTCTGGAGGAGGAGGAGGAGGAGGAGGAGGAGGTGTTTTATTCCTCCTCCCCCGTGGAGAAGCACAAAGACGGAGGAGAATCTCCCCCTGAGGACGGGTCAAACCTCACATTATGGACTGAACTCCCTTCAGTGGTTCTGACCCAGAACTGAAGTCTCCCTCTGTGAGAAACTCAAGAAGAACCAGGAACACGATCCAGGAGAACCTGCTGAGACTGGACCTGGTCTTGGTCCTGCTCTGGACCTGCAGACCTGTTTATTTATTGACAGTTATGAAGGTGAACTCAAGGTCAGGGTCGGTTTACTTCCACAGAGCTGAGTATCGATCAGCTGATCAACAACGACACATGAAGATGATCGATCCCTCGCCTCGCATCTCTGAGCGTGTCGACCACGGAGGAGGTTTCTGTGTGACACTTCCTGAACTCTCAGAGGAGGTCTTCAGGAGGTCTGTGCAGCTGGACTCACAGTGGGTCACTGAGTCTCAGAGTCCTCTCCTCTGTGGTGTACCTCAGGGTTCTGTCCCGGGTCCCCTTTACTTCCCGTCTTCTGTTCTCATGTCCGTCACCCTCAAACAGGACTAAGCGGTCCTGCTGGTCCTCCATCAGTAACACCAGGATCAGGGTCTACCTGATGATCCAGGACCGAGCCGACCCAAACAGCTGATCTGTCTGCTGCTCCTCCTGAGTCTCCAGTCTGTAAAAACTCTCGTCTAAAGTCTCATCATCACAAAAACACCTGAGAGGCTCCGACTGATCATCCAGGTAAACTCCAACACCTGTGGGCGTCTGTCCACAAACACCAGACCTCCAAAAACAGGAGAGAGAGTCATCCTCTGAAGGAAGGAAGAAAAGAAGGAGAGTAAACACAGAGAGGAGGAGGAGGAGGAGGAGGGCCGGCAGAGGAAGCTTTGAAAATAAAGAAAGTAAAAATAATTGATGGAAGAGGAGAGCGGGAAAATGAGCTCCCAGGAGGACGGAGACGCTGAGAGGAGAGGATTTAATAAAGAGAAGAAAAGAGATGGAGGAGGAGGAGGAGGAGGAGGAGGAGGAGGACACAGGCGCTCATATTTAACAGTTAATCCTGTCCACACTGATCTGGATCTTCGCACATCAGAGACAAACTCTAAAGTAAAACTGGTCGATATGAAGCTCCTGAAATCAAACTGACGAAGATGAAGCCAAGAACAAACGCAGAAACACGATCGAACCGTCCTCCAACCCGGGTTTAGATCTGAGGACCATGACTTCTTCAACGTCTTTACATTAGTGAGATTCTCTGTTTTACTCTCTGTGGTTGAAGGATGAGAGGTTTTTTTCCTGCTGACATTCAACGATCCTTCAGTCTGTTCAAACTCTGATAAAACCTGCCTATAGAGCGGCGTTTTGGTTGGGGGCGTGGCTCTCTGTATTTCTATCCTGCGGTCCCAGTTCATCCACCAGTTAGACAGGAAACGGTGAAAAGTTTGTCGATTCATCCTGAGAGAAAAACTTTCAAACTCTGAACACGATGAATCCTGAGCTGATCGATCAATCCTGAGCTGATCGATCAATCCGGACTTCTCTGAGGTCTTTCTATCAGAACCTGGAGTCCTCCCTTAGTCCGCTCTGATGGACTTTAAATCACCCGGATTTAGAGAGACCTGGACTGAGTCTGGATTTAGGGAGACCCGGACTGAGTCTGGATTTAGAGAGACCCGGACTGAGTCTGGATTTAGAGAGACCCGGACTGAGTCTGGATTTAGAGAGACCCGGACTGAGTCTGGATTTAGAGAGACCCCGTCCTGAAGGAGTCTACCTTATTCTTTTAAAGAGGTATCAGGACAGGAGATGGTTTTTAGTTCTCCTCCTGCGCTGACATTCAGGGATCAGAGTTTGACATGAAACCGTCGTGAGCGGACAGACACACCATCATCATCATCATCATCTTCATCATCGTCATCTTCATCAGCGTTGCCACGTCGACACCAGTCAGCTGGGAGTTGTTAATCCCTCAGCTGAGCCTCTCAGGCTGCTGTGGTCTCCTCTTTGTGCTCCTGTCAGCTCTCTGTTCTCTTCCTGCTTCTCTTCTCTTTGTTCCACATGTTGCTCTGATCTTTGATACCAGCTGAGAAAAACAGGATTAACGGGCGGATAAATGCAGCGCTCCCCTGTGTGAAAGTCTAAAACACAGTTCGGTTTGTTTTTGCAGACATCTCCAGATGAATCATTCCTGATTCTTGTTTGTTTCCGTTTCTGTTTTATCTCCGTAACCAGGAGAAACTTCATGATCCAAACCTCCAATCGTGAGGCTCAGGACCTTCTCAGGACCTTCTCAGGACCTTCTCACTTCTGTTGTCTTCGTAGAAACTTGGACTGCTGAGACTTTAACCTTCCTCTGATGTGTTCAGATATTTGTGAGTGATTTAGATTGACTCTAACGGGGCGCTCACACCAAGCACGAGGAAAATCATCTACTCTCTTAATTCGACTCTCGACGTGTGAGTATTTACTCGCTTCATTTACGCGTCAAATCTGAATAATGTCGTCACTCCTTGGATACTGGCGCCATGGATACCAGAGATCCAGACATGTAGAGATGATCCACGCCACAAAGATGCTAATATTTATTTGTTGTGGAGAGATGTCGGCGCCGCCGTGGCGAGCTCCTTTTTATTCCAGTTTCGGTTATTAATTCAGGGCACCGACACACCGACACGATCAGTGTGTCCTCCGTTTTAGATTCCAGTGACCATCCGTCTGTTTTCATACGTCACCTGGAAACCTGCGTGCTGATTGGTTGTCGTGACACTAATATCCGCTCAAATTAAGACATTTTCAGCTCCCGTCCAGTTCTCGTCATTCTCGCCACCAGAGTAGTAGGAGCGTCTGATCGCGTCTTTCTTTGATTTAACGTGTGATTCACTGGATGATTTTACTCTGGTTTGGTGTGTAAAAGCTGAAAATATCCAGGTATTGAGGTCGTTGTTCTGTATTTTCTCTGTAGAGCAGCGTTGGGTATCACAGACAGGATCGGCGTATTTGAAATACTGGATGACATCTGCGGTTTTCGTGCTCGTCTTCCTGTCTGGAGCGATCTTCTCTGTGTGGATTGACGCGTGTTGGAAACGTAGAGCGTCAAAAATCGACTCGCTGCGTATCTTTAGCAGAGCTGCTCTGATACGAAGCTGCGGTGGAGCTGAGACGCGTCCTGTTCGCTTTCCTGTGTGATACGAGACGCTGCCGATACGGATCCTGTGTGTTTTACCCTGAAGTCCTCGTTGATGAAGGTTCAGGTCAGCAGATGGTCAAACCGTTGTCTATTACCAGATTAAAACTCTTCGTTCGACCCTGATTCCAGTTTCTGATCGACTCAAACTAACAAATATTCAGACCGAGGTGAAGACTGAAGACGGTTTAAGGACTGAAACTGACCTGAAAAGTTCTGGATTGTTGTTTCGGACCAGAAAAGACTCAAAAGTGTCAGAGACTCACGATCTTTACCTAACCCTAAAGTTCTCCTCTCTAAACTCTGAGTTTCTGATCCAGCTTCAGGAAACGAGGCAGAACTTCCTCCTCCTCCTCTGTCTCTGACTAACCTCCTGAATCCTCTTTAGGTTTAACGTTCTCAAACTTCTCGACGTATATGACGGTGGAGCTTTATTAGAGAACGTTGTAATGAAGGAGAAGCCTGATCCCTGCGGTGAGTCAGCAGCTCCTCTCAGAGTGAACCTTCACAGACTCCGCTCTCGCTGCTTTATCACCAAAAATGATCGTTAAGGCTCCAATTAACCCAATTAGACATGCAGATGATTTAATGATCCTGAAATAATGAAGTTAAGAGTAGAAACGTCTCCTTCAGCGCACACGGCTCCATGTTTGCTGATCTGCTGCTTCACTGCGGCTCAGCTCCTCGGAGATTAATGCGCTAAAAACACGTTTATCGTGTTTTTACTCCGGATCAGGGTTTTTATCCACCAGAGCTTCTCTCTGCTTCAGACTGAAGTGGACATGTCATAGTTTTACATGTCTGTGTTTTTTAAACCTCTCTAAATCTGGAGCTCCAATCAGGTCTCACTCTCTGACTGTGCGTTTGTTTAAAGTCACCAATAGGAGCTGACGTCTTTGATCAGAGCGCCATGAGCCGTCAGCAGACACGGTGACGCAGTGAGCCGCTCTGATGAGGCTTTTCCATCTTAGACAATCAACGACGTTGTCTCCGCTCCGAGGTTCGCCGATGTCTGAGCGAAGTTTGACCTCTGTGAAAGGTCAAACATGTCCGAGATTCACACGCTAACTCCTCTAACGCACGCCGCAGTGAAGTGAAGTTTCCTCTCCTAAGAAATGTTCAGAGCTCATTTTCAGGACGTTCCTGCACGTCGAAAGCAAACTAGAACTCTGGCCTCGACATTGAGGACATTTGTTCAGATGATGGAGGAGCTTTTTCAGGTTCAGATGAATCATGAATGATTGAATCTTCTTTACACCAACATGAACATCAGATCTTCACCTTTGGATCATCACGGCCACATAAACCATGTTGTTAATGAATGAAGTGAGTCATCCTGAATTCCTAACGACGTTCAGATGAAGAGTTTCCGCTCTGAGACTGAAGTTGAGTTTTCACAGAGAGTGGGTGGTCTGACGGTGTTCATATAAGAGAGGATAGAAACACGGTTTTAAAGACGGAGGCTGCACGTCTGTCTGATATAGATGTAAAAACAGAGACGCTCTAAAGGAGGAGGTCTGTGTCTCACGAACATCCCTCTGTAGTTTCTTCAGAGATGATGTGGAGGTTTAGTGCAGACCTGAGTCTGTCTCTCTCATGTTTCAGGAACATCCTGACAGATCAGCGTCTCTCTCAGTCACAGACGATCAGAGACTTTACTGTCATTAAAGACGCTTCACTCTGATTCACAAACACTGAAATATTTGACCTTTTTTGGACGTTATCTGACGCAGATCACCAGACCAGATCCAGACCAGACCAGACCAGATCCACAGTGGATTATTGTTTCAGACTGCTCATACCTGCAGCTCATAAACAAAGGAACATTAGAAAAGGTAAAAACAGGTAACTCTCTCTCTCTCTCTCTCTCTCTCTCTCTCTCTCTCTCTCTCTCTCTCTCTCTCTCTCTCTCTCTCTCTCTCTCTCTCTCTGAGCAGTGAGTGTGCTGAGTGAGTGTGCGGAGCGATTGTTCGAGTGTTTGAACATCTTTTCTATCTTTTTGTAGCTTTCTCATGAGAGAAAGTCTGCTTTATTTGTATTAATAGTTGTAGGTGAGTAGTTTAGTTGAGAGTTTGGTGGTGGTGGGCTGACAGCAGGGCGACATGCCCGTTGTCAGTGGTCACGCCGAGCTGGAGCTGCTAACTCGCCGGCACGCGGTGAAAGTGTTACCTGGAGCTGGCGTGTCGGTGGAGGAGGTGAGCTATGCTGTTGGTGAGGTGGTGGGATTCGAGAGTGTAAAGTCAGCATCTAGGATGAATAGTGCTGTTGTTATTTTGTTAGATGAGGTGAGTAAAGTGGAGAGGGTGGTGGAATCAGGTGTAGTATTGAGGGACACGTTCACTTCCGTGTTTCCTCTGGTGAACGTGGCTAAAAAGGTAACAGTGTCAAATGCACCACCGTTTATAAAAAATGATGACCTGTGCAAAGCTTTGAGTAAGTACGGTCAAATTGTGTCACCAATAAAAATGGTCTTGCTAGGGTGCAAATCACCCTAGCAAAACATGTCGTGTGTCACAGGAGGCAGCTGTTCATGATACTGAAAGATACTGAAAGACGCCGAAAACCCTTTAAACCTGTCGCTAAATTTTAAGATCGAAGGTTTTAACTATGTGGTTTTTATTACATCGGACACAATGAAGTGTTTTGGGTGTGGGGCCGAAGGACATCTCATCCGAGCATGTCCTGAGGCCAGAAAGGAGAACGCCGGGGCTCCGGGCCCGGAGCGCACGGCGGGTGAAGCCGGGGCTCCGCGCGCGGAGCGGCCGGCGGATGAAGCCGGGGCTCCGCGCGCGGAGCGGCCGGAGGGTGAGGCCGGGGCTCTGCGCGCGGAGCGGCCGGCGCGTGTGACCGGGGCTTCGGGCGCGGAGCAGCCGGTGGGTGAAGCCGGGGCTTCGGGCGCGGGGCGCCCGGCGAGTAAGGCCGGGGCTCCGGGCGCGGAGCGCCCGGCGGGTGGAGCCGGGGCTTCGCGCGCGGAGCGGCCGGCGAGTGGGGCCGGGGCTCCGGGCGCGGAGCACGAGTCAGACGCCTCGGGCTCCCGTTTGAGTAAGCAGGTGCCCGAGGATAACAGAATGGAAGTGGGTCTGAGTGGGGATGCACCAAATGAAAATAATGTAAAAATTGATCAACAGAAAAAAACTGTGAACACTGTGGTGGAGGGAGGAGGAGAAAACAAATCAGACATTGACAGCATGATCGAAGTGATTATGGAAGACGTTTTTAACGAACAAAACATCAGTCTTAAATACAGTAAAAGAAAACAACCAAATGAGCAGAGTCAGGGGGGAGGGAAGGCCATGAAGGTACTGGAGGACCTTTCTGAGGAAGAGGAGGAGGAGGAGGAGGAAGAGGAGGGAGAAGAGGCTGACTTTACTCCTTCTCAAAAAGAAAAAATCACAAATTACAGTGTGTCAAAAATCAAAAAGTTTTTAACTGACACTAAAGGTCAATGGGCGGTCAAAGTGGAAAATTTTTTCCCAGATTTAAATGGTTTTATAAACTCAGTGAATCGTTTTCAAAGAGAGAATGCGTTTACTGAGCAGGAAGTCTACAGACTCAGTAAGCTCAAGAAAAGGGTCAAAGAAGCACTCAGAGTGACAAGTAACTGATTTTTATGATGTCGTGTTTTTTATCCCCTGTTTTTATTTGTTCAGTTCTTCTCACAGTTTTTATGAACATTCGCATTGGGACTCTAAACATAAACGGAGCTCGGTCAGACTATAAGAGAGCATCTCTGTTCCAGCTGTGCCAGATGAAAAAGCTGGACGTACTTTTTGTGCAGGAGACCCACAGTGACCAGAGGAATGAGGGGGACTGGAGAAGGGAGTGGCCAGGCCAGGTCTATCTGAGTCACAAAGTGTCCAACAGTGCTGGGGTGGGGATCCTGTTCTCCAGGTTTTTTAACCCTCACACTGTGCAGGTGCACCAGGTGATGGATGGACACATTTTAATGGTTAAGGCTCAGTATGAGGATTTTAAATTTGTTTTTGTGTGTGTTTATGCTCCAGTGCTGGGCAGAGACAGAATGCTGTTTTTAAATACTCTGTGTGATGTGGTGGGGGGTGTGGAGGAGGGTTTTTTTATTCCTGGGGGGTGATTTTAACTGCACTGCTGATGCAGTGATGGACAGGAATCACCTGGAGCCTCATCCTGCCTCATCCACTCGGCTAAAAAGACTGATGGAGACTCATGACCTGAAGGACGTGTGGAGAGGCTTGAATGGCTCCACCAGGCAGTACACCTGGTCCCACTGCAAAGACAACAGCTTGTCTCTTGCCAGACTGGACAGATTTTATTGTTTTAAACACCATTTCGGCATTTTTAGGAAATGTCTTATTGTCCCTGTGGGTGTGTCTGACCACTTTTTAGTCCAGTGTGACTTTTTTATTCAGAATGTGAAGACATCCAGCGCCTACTGGCATTTTAACACGGCTCTTTTAGAAGACTGTGCTTTTAAAGATGCTTTTAGGTTTTTATGGGCTTCACACAGGGACAGGAAGGCAGAGTTTTTATCAGTGCAGAGATGGTGGGACTATGGGAAGGTTTTAATTCAGCAGTTCTGTCAGCAGTATACTCGCAACGTCACCAAGTACATCACCAGATCCCTCCAGGTCCTGGAGACTGAGGTACAGAACCTGTTGGACTGTACAGGAGAAGGGAGGCATGTTGAGGCCCTCCAAAAGAAGAAGGCTGCCATAGCCAACCTGCTGGGCACTACAGCACAGGGGGCGCTGGTGCGCTCCCGCTACATGAACGCCTCCATGATGGACGCCCCATCGAAGTTCTTCTTCAGCCTGGAGTCAAAAAACAGACAGAGGAAGGTGATCCACAGCCTGCGCGCCACTGACGGATCCGCCATCACTGGGGCCTCAGAGATCCGCAGGCATGCCACATGTTTTTATAGAGACCTTTTTAAAAGTGAACTGGTGGAGGATCCACAGCTGGAGGCAGACTTTCTGTCTGACCTCCCTCAGGTGGGACAGTCGGGGAACTCTCTCCTGTCAGCTGACCTGACTCTGGAGGAACTGCATGTGGCCCTCATGAACTTGGCCAACGGAAAGGCCCCAGGCATCGACGGGATCCCAGTGGATTTTTATAAGACTTTCTGGCCCGTGGTGGGCGAGGACTTATTGGAAGTATTTCAGGAGAGTTTGAGAACAGGACTGTTACCGCAGAGCTGCAGGAGGGCTGTCATAACCCTGCTCCCCAAGAAGGGAGACCTCCAAGAACTGAAGAACTGGAGACCGGTCTCACTGCTCTGCGGGGACTATAAGGTCCTCTCCAAAGCCCTGGCTCTACGGCTGCGAGAGGTGATGGCGGAGGTGATTCATGTAGACCAGACCTACTGTGTGCCCGGCAGACTGATCAGTGATAACATCACTCTGATTCGGCATGTTTTGGACGTCTCTAGCTCTTTAGGCGTTGACACTGGTCTGATTTCCATAGACCAGGAAAAGGCTTTTGATCGGGTTGAACACCAATACCTGTGGAAGACGCTCGCCGCCTTCGGGTTCAGCCCAGATTTTATAGCCAGGGTTCGGGTTATGTACCGTGACGTTGCGAGCATACTCAAGATTAATGGTGGTCTGGCTGCTCCCTTCTGCGTTCAAAGAGGGGTGCGACAGGGTTGCTCCTTATCAGGGATGCTCTATTCCTTAGCGATTGAGCCCCTGCTAGAAAAAATGAGGAGGACTCTGACAGGAGTTCTGTTCCCAGGATGTCCTGCAGCGATAAAACTGACAGCATACGCTGACGACATCATGGTGGTTTTAAATACACAGAAAGACATTCAGGTTTTAGAGGACAAAGTAAATCTTTTTAACAAACTGTC